CTCTGATCGTTCTATTTTATTATCGAAATCATATCTATAAGCTTTTAATATTTACAATATAAATTAATTTCATATGGCACTTAACAATCTCTATTTAAAAGTAAACAATCTCTATTTAAAACTATTAACCTTGTGTAACTTCTCTAATTTCATAATAACTCTCATGATGTATAAACTTATTATCAAACGTTTGATGTTCCATGAAAGCGTGACACAACTTAATCCAAGAAAGCGAGCTTTACCTAAACCTATCTGTATCCATGAGGAATGTTAGGAACGTGAAGAAGCAAGATGCGGCGCAAACAGAGGCCCAAGTGCCGACCCACACCCTGGCGAACTTTCTCTGCTTCTCGGTGAAGAACATCCCGTCGCAGGGCGCACCGCAATCGGGCTCCACCTTGTCGCCCACCTTCAGCGAGTACCCTAATTCGTGAGGAACCTTGAACTGGACCGGGCAGACGAAGCCAAAGTCCCTGGCGCCCATGGCGAAACCGTTGCCGTAGGGCTTGAGTCCCTCGTTCCAGGTTGGCTGGAACTCCGGCACCGGCATACGGGCCGGGGGATAGACGGGGGGCGCGGCGGGTGGTTCCTGGGGCGTGGTGGTCTCGTTGGTGCCCACGCAGAGCTCGGTGCCGCCGTTCTCCGGCATCTTGGCGCAGTCGAGGGCCTCCGGCCATAGGAAGCCGAAGCTGTTCATCAGGCTCTCGCAGCCGGAGCGCGCGCTCTCGCAGAGCGACCGGCACGGCGGTAGCGCCTTGTCGATGATGGTGCAGACGGGCGCGTAGACGGTGCAGAGGAAGAATCGCAGATCCGGGCTGCACTTCATCTTGACGAGCGGCATGTACTGGTGCACCTCCTGCCCGGCGTCCTCCTGCTTCTGATGATTCATCAGATTCGGCATGATCGTCTCGTTGTACGGGATGTTCATGCAGAGGTTGATGGTGATGGGCTCGCAGCGGCCGTGGTGAGCGAGGGGATCGCCGCTGCCGCCGCCGCCGCCGCC